CGAATGATGCCTAGACGAAATAATATGTTGTCTCGACATGCTCTAAAAACAGTTTTCACTCTTATTTACCAAAAAATAGATATAATTCGCAAGTTGTAGCTGAGGTGTCATTAAGAGCGAGATCGACAAGCGGACTTGACGCTTCCATCTGCGAATTTGACGAATTTTTAGATCTGTTTTATCTGCCACAACATTGGGATCGTGTATAACGTGTATAACGTTAAAGGGCGGTGGTCGTCGCGCTGCGCATGTGCGACATTTGTGTTGATTTCCCCACAATCCAATGCGCTCTTTTAATGAAAATCACAAGTATGAGGTTTGACCTGGGCGCGACTTGCACTAATTACCGCCGTCACTCCTTCGATACCTTCCAATCACATACAAAATACCTAATTAAAGCTTGGTAACGTCTCAGTCTGTACTCGTTAATCTGCGCAACAGTCAAAGTCGCCATGTTTGTTTATATGAGACCCACATATATCTCGCCCATGCGTGGCGCGGCGACTACCGCCCTTTAATTATTTGCATAGAAGGGAAATGGGCGAATAACGGGGTCAATGACCTGTAGTATCGCATCTGATTCATCCGTTTATCATAGTGAACAACATACTGCATTCCATCACATGTAGCTGCTTAGCCCATTCACTTGAGTGAAAAGTCCATTGGTGAGTAGTTAAGCTCAAATCTAATTTTGGTCAAAGATTTTGCTCCACAGTTACTTGGGGCCTTTAAAATTTCAAGATGACATACCTTCATTGATTGATCAATTACATGAGTGGCAATTGAGTCAAAAATGAGAAAACTGAAATGTGCCTAATATACACGTATCGGCAATGCAAGCTGTACAGCAAGTTCCCCATTTGACGTCACAAGGGGAACTTCTGTATGCAAATGAGAAGCTAATGAGGAGCCACGTTTTAAAATACACAAAAGTAAATTTGCCGTAGACTTGTTTGAAATGCATTTTTTCACTTTAAAAAAATATTCTATGTTTAGAAAAATAATAATATTGATGTACCAAAGAATGATTTTAGGCGAGAAAAACAGCAGCCATTTCAGAGGCACTTTAAGGTTAAGAAATATACCAGCTGAAGCAGATACCAATAAAAATGATTATTATATCAACAAATTTACCTCACTAATAAAAAAACACTTACAATTCTGTGGTGCCTGCCTTGAAGAGTGAGTGAATGACGTCACACCTTGCGCATCAAGGAGTGACATCACACTACGCACATCTGCACCATTGATGGCGTACTATCTCTTCCGTTCCCGGCACAAGGCATATTGGTCTCACAATACATTATTAATGTTATTTAATTATGACTTGAGATACGTTATACATAAAAAGAAATTATGGAGGTCAAGTTTAATTCTATGAAAATAATCTTTGTTGCAGCATTTATTTACAAACCAACGTCAACGTATTATATTTATGGGATTTATAAACAAACATTTGTCGTTTCGTAAATAATCAGAAAGGTGTGTAATATTATTTACATATCATGCAGCAAAATGCATTATTTATAAATAATAACCATTATATTTAAGTAAGCTCGCTTTTTTTTAAATAGTAATACAGACTTGTGTATTTTTTATTTCATTGCTAAATAAATTTGAATAAGCGCATTGAATGTAAATAACGAAGCGCGAACATCAAAGTGTATGAATAATTGCAACTCGACGAATATAACTTTATTTGCAAACCATGGACGTTGGTGGCGTTTTGATGATTTATAAAAAAAAATGAGGGTCTCAAAACTGTTTATAAATATTAATGCACGCCAGATTTGTACAGAGTCCCTGTATACAAATATTACAAATATTGATACGGTTTACAAGTTCTAAATATTCTGATAAGTAAATAATAAAAATTTACCATTTTTTGCACACTCTGCGCGACTAAAATCATTATATAGCAAAAAACGGTAAAACTGGTGTGTTTGATTCATAAAGAAATGGTTTTGGCGAGCTAGAAATGTTAGCACAAAGATATCACTTCTACATTTGAATGGTTTGCATACAATTTCTTGCAATGTAAACCGTGAATTATATAATAAAACAACGTACACACCATTATCATTACATATAAAAAAACATGACTTCTTTAACGTCATGACCCCATGACCCAGGAAAGCCAGAGACAAGTATATATTAATATGGGACGAAAAAAAAAAAACATTCCTGCACCAGGCACAGTGCAATATTATGTATGATTAAAGTAAAATATATGAACATTTTGAATGAAATATGTGGATGGTAGCTTCTCTGCCGCAACGCATTGGATGATCAACACTTGTACAATTACAAAACACCATCCTTCGGTGTACAATAAAACGCCCTATATCATGCTACGTTCGGTTATTTTTTATAATTTGGTGTATAAAAACAAATATTTCTTTGCTGGTATTTTACTATATAAGGGTATTGGAGGTGAATATTAACAATTGGAACGAGGGCAGAATAATCCGATTGAGCTTAAACTCGTTTAATTTGTAGCTTAGTTTGCTAAAAAATGATTACATGTTGGCAACTACAATGTTGAATCCTGCAAGTCATGCTCAAAAAAATAATTATTGTGTGTTAAGTGATATTAAACGAGTTTTTATATACTAGTATAACGAACCTTCACGTCTAGTTTCAAATTCACCACACCTGAAACGGATTTATTATATTGAATGTATAGCATACACAGCAAGTTATTAAGTGCAAAGGCGTGGGCATATTTCAGATGAAATATCATGCAGACTAAATTACTTGAAACAAAACGCATCAGCAGTAATCATAAAAAATAGCTTTTCGTTTATTCAACTATGCAATTCGAAAATATTTAATGAAAGCTTTCTCATAATGAATTTCAGTATAGTTTAATATTTTCATATTTGACTATTTTCATAACTTTGTGTATATAGGCGAACAATATTTGTATACTGGTATTTTGTTAAAAAGGTATTTTAGGAGAAGATTAAAAATCGGAACGTGCACGGAATATAATCCGAATGAGATTAAACTGGACAGTAAAATTAGTATTTCACTGCTGTTACTGAACCAAGACTGTTTAATTACAATAAAACCTATTGTCTCAAAACCATAGTTCTTTGAAAGTGTTACACGTTTTGATATTGATTTTGTTTATTTATCTTTCTCCTGGAAACACTAAAACCAATTCGTGGATTTATTCCAGATACAATTTGTTCTCAGTAAACTACTTTGAACTAGCCATGTCAGCAAGTTGGACATTCATTTGTGACCTTTTACCTATTCAATGACACATCCCTAGCACGAAACTGAAGTCAGTTAGGAAACGAACATAACATTTCCGCAAAGCACGATGGAGTTGTGTTTAACTTGTGTTGTATTTGTGACCTTAGGTCAGGATGACACAAATACGCTCTTCTATGTCGAAGCATCGGATACCACTTTTCATTCACGGTAATAAGTCATTGATTTGACAATGTTCTGTCATGTAAACTCTGGTTTCGTCGGTTTAAGTTATATTTTTAACTTAGTTTATTGAAAGCTTTTTCATAATGAATTCAGAACCATTAATCCTGGAAAGTGGTTCACATTTCGATGTTTATTTATTTTTGTTTGATCTCCTTCGTTGAAACACTAATTTAAGTGCGTAGATATATAATTCCAGATTGAGTGTCGTTGTGAGAAAACAACTTGAAATGAACCACGTCCGCAAGTATGGCATTCATTATTAATCTTTTACCTATTCAACTCTAAGCCCCAGCGCTAAACTGACGTCAGTTCGGACCTGAATATAACATTTTACGTGTTGGAAATTGCATTGGTGAATCCTGAAAGTCATGTCCTGACAAATAATTATTGTGTGCCAAGTGATATTAAAAGATGTTGTTTAACATAAGACGAGCCTTCACGAGTTTCAAATTCACCACACCCGGAACAGACTTATTATTTGCAGAGTAAACGACTTAAAACAAAACACATCAGCAGTAAAAATAAAATTGTCGGTCTTCCAATCATCCAATTCGACATCCTCTTTGCTGAATTTTACTTTGGGCTGCTAATTCAGTTTATTTCCCTTTGTAGGGATATCCTTTCATGACTTGGTTATAATTGTACACAGGTTTGAACATAATATTTTAATAACATATATCTAGAAAGAAGCCTTTCAAATTGAATAAGCACAGAAGGAAGCTAAATATTCAATGATATCTTTCTCATACTAAAATTCTGTGTATAGTGACAAATACTTGTCCCAGAATATTGCCCTTGGAATGCTGAACACATTCCGATATTGATATTATTTATTTATTTTTGTTTGATCTCCCTCGTGAAAACACTAATTCAAATGCGTGGATATATTCAAAACAGAGCGCCGCTCCCAGAAAACAGCCTGAAATCAGCCAGGTAAACAAGTTGGAAATACCTCTGTGACCTTCACCTATTCAAAACCAAACGCCCCAGCGCTCAACTGGAGTTTGCTAGGGACTCAATAAAAAATGTATATAAAGCACGATATTGTTCTGTTTAACTCTGTATTCTGCTGCCATCATTGTGACTACAGGTCAGTATTAATCAGATGCGTTCTCTTTTTCAAAGCATCGAATACATGCATTTTGGAATGATTCAGGTAGTGTCTGTTTTCTTTGGTGCTAGTTATTTTTCAAAATCCATGTTCCATTAGTGTGCCTACATTGTTTTCACTTTGTGTCTTTCTTTATAATTAAACTCTCCATAGCGAGTTTAAAATTCACCATACCCAGAACAGATTTATTACGTTGAATGTATATTATACAAATCAGAGACATGATATTAAATGTAAAGTAATATATATTAACTTTATTCTTGGAGTAGTAGTGGTTAGACGTTGAATATGGTAATTGTAGTTAAATCATTGATTTTTTAAAATGATTATTGGATGACACGCATGAAATTTATATCGTATTAACTAAAATATAGATAAAGTGCCACAAATACGAAATCGTGGTCTTCTAGGTGGCAATAACTAATGTATAACTTTTATAAAAATGTTTTCTGTTCAACTCGCAGAAATGAAATCGGTAACTACTGTGCGGGCATTCGCATTATTGGTTCTTGTGCATTGGCCTCACACGGTGAGTATTTTTACCACAGTGTAAGTTATCACATTCTTCATTTATTATTATTATTATAATTAATGTGACAGCTCATATTTTTTTTTTCTCACAGGGTGGTGTGAATGTTGAACCACCTGAAGAAATTCAGAGTCCTGGTGCCTTTGAATCTGATATGATGTTAGATCCTGTACAGATTGCTGCGATCACTGAAAGCAGTGACGCTATTAATAATGGAGTGGATGCACGTAAAGCACTTACTGCTTTGGCAAGTCGTTGGCCAAATGCTATTGTACCATATGTGATATCTGCTGACAGTAAGTATTGTTTCCAAACCTGTATCCCAGAAGGGCTTGAACCGACCACGGGAACGCACGTCGTTAATACACTACTCGTGCACTTCGTTAAAATTATTTCAACATAGGAGAACTCAATCTCGGGCGTGATATCATCTTGGGAGTTTGATATACGTCATCTATTTTATTAATGAGTCAACTTTATGATAGCAGATGATCAATCGATACTTGTTTTAGACTCAGAGCACATATCACCTGCTTCTTCAAGTAGTTTTATTACATCCTTGTAACAAAAAAATACTATATACAATATACTAAAAAATACTATAATAATGTATTTGCAAGTTGATGAATACTAGGATGTAGTCATAGTTTACTGCAATTTTTTTGATGCAAAAGAACCGGGTGATGATACATATATAGCCATCTGATCTCTGACATATTGCTCATCCGCACTCAATGAGTTAGATGCAAAGCAATCACGATTGTCTGTGTAAAACACATTGTGGTAGAATACTTTTAAGCAATGTGCATTTGGATGTTTATGAACTTAATTCATGCATGTTGTGGACAACGTTAACTCGTGTGTTAATTGTGTCTTGCTCAACCAGATGTTCTACTTGTTTCTAGATTGAGACTTGATTGCATTTTGTCAACTTTTGTGGATGTTTGATACATTTCGTTTTATCAATTTTCAGGTCAAGGTGACAGTGCTGTTATAAGAGAAGCACTCAAATACTGGGAAGACCGAACCTGTCTTACATTCCCACCCTATGACTCAACTAAAGGACACACAAGTAGGATTAGGTTCATGAAAGATGAAACATAGTATGTTTTTAAATATATATATATTTGTATTCATTTTTTAAATATATATATATTTGTATTCATTTTTTGAAATTATCTAATCCAGCGAATGCCCGCAAGTGCCCGTGTTCATAACCATTATAATCGACGTTATTGTTGTTTTATTAGTTGCTGGTCATGGGTAGGAGTCCATAATCCCGGTGGATCGCAAGATATTTCAATTGGACAAGGTTGTGCTCAGGTATGACTATTTAATATTACAGGAAATGTTATGCTTCGAAATCGTAATTCTAAATGTGTCTTATATTCATCATTTGTCTGTCTGTACTATACTATTTCTCAAATAGAGAGGAACAATCGTACACGAGATCGGCCATGCAATTGGTTTTTGGCATGAACAAAGCCGTCCAGACAGAGACACTTATGTACAGATACATTTCGACCGCATTATACCTGGAAAAGAGAGCAATTTCCTAAGATACGCAGCTGACACTGCAAATACGTACAACATACCCTATGACGTCAGTTCCTTGATGCACTATGGTCCAACGGTAAGTGGATTTTTTGCATTCGGATTTATGGGGGAACCAGAATTGAAATTGTATATTACAGCATATGACATGACATGTTTTAAGTTTGTTTGTTTGTTAGTCGTTATCAATTTCTAAGAGATTGATTTTCTTGTTTTGAATGATTTTAAATAGGTTTGTATCAAATAGTCGAAAGTGAATGGAATTAGTAGAATTGGCTATATTATTGATATAGATTAAAAATAAAATTGGAACCTACAGTCATTCCTTAGGAAACCCCGCAGATTATAGAAATGATGAAATGTTACAAATTGTTGACGATTACAATTACAAGGTAGTTTTTTAAACCAAAGTAGAGGAAGACCTCTACTACTATAGTGTTCTAGTTTACAACACAGAATTTCATGATTAATAGTGTCGTAGGGTTTTTTGAGAATGAATATTTGACGGTAGTAGTTGACATCATTAGTAGAAACTTTTTTTTACAAATGATCTTCGCTATTTTATGATCATGTGAAATATACTTTGGCGGAGATAACAGTTGATGTGGACAAGGGTGTGAGAGATTATATGGCATGCATGCTTGATAATTTTAGGGGGAGGCCACCATGTCCCACTGATTTCCCAGGATCAAGGGCACTGATTTCATTGATTATATCCCTGTCATTCACAAGTCGAAAAGAAAAAATAGTCACAATAATAGTTAACAATTGAGTAAAATCGCCCAGGTAGTAATGTTATACGCGAGTTTTGATCCAATATTGGTAAAAAAGTGGTTAAACTCTTCAACAATATATGTTGTTTCTGTCAAGATTATTTCGCAGGGCAACTGATTAATAGAATTCAATGTACGTGGTGATGGTTTAGTTGATTTAATTAAAATATTATTGATCACGTTTTGTTAGTATTGCCATTCGTGGACTTGAGAATTTATTTTAATTGCTGACTTGAGTTTAGTCAAAATGTTTCTTTATGTTTTATATTTGGTTTGTTTTTCATTTGGCAAATTTGTATTTGGTTTGGACTGATTTAATTACATATAGCATCGGCTTCGTCACATTGTAGTACATAAAGCTTACTGGTGACTGTCCATACAAATTTCCATTTGCACCGTTTTCAGGCCACGTTTGCGTTGTGAAAGAGATGTTTGTTGCCAGCTGTTCGGTTTTCGTTAATATAAACGGTATTTGTTGTATTCCGATCTATATTCATTCCGTTTCCTGATTTTCTTGCGCTATATAGATTTTTGCGGACAGATCCTTAAATAGATCGCATGATAATAGGATGCGGGTTTGGATAGTAAGCAAAGACTCACGTCAATGTCGTAAGGTGTAATATTGATTCCGGCGGAGAGCGTGACCTGCAAAACCAACGTATCTGTATCTCCATTTGGTTGTTGTGGAATGTCATGTATTTCCAGATTTTTGCGCCTTGTTGTTGTATATTGTTTCGGGTCTTGTAGTTCAGTGGTGGATGAACTTACGTTGGTTTGTATTATCTCCAGTTTGATTTTTAACTCGAGATTTTCCTTAACAATGCACGCATATCTCTCTATTTCTCCAATCTTCTATTCCAATGATGGTATATAGTCGATTGTATGACCTCTAGAGCCCCCAGAGTGGACATAACATCCTTTTAGTAGTTAGTTACATACACCCCGGTTTTAATCATTACTAGTTTTGTGGCGCGATACCAGCATAACATATTGGTTTGCATTGTTACAGTATTTTTCTTGGAATGGGCTAAATACAATTGATGCAGTTGATCCAGACGATCAGGCATTATTGGGTCAAAGGAACCACCTTAGCGCCAACGACGTTCTTTTAGCTAATATAATGTACGACTGCAGGAGTAAGTACTATAGAGTAGTTGCTAAAATTGTATAAGACGTCAATCCATCATAAAGAAAGTTATCAAAAATCTTCCGTTTTATAAAACGACCATTAAAATAGTACTTACTGTCGACAAACACTTATATCTGTAGGGTTAGCAAATGTGGCGTTGGGTAAGCCAACATCAGTCAGTTTCTTGCGGTATCCTGAATATCCTTCGTCAAATGCTGTGGATGGCAACACAGATTCTTCTTGGTATGGAAATAGTTGCACTCACACTTATAAACAGTTCCAACCCTGGTTCCGAGTTGACCTTGGAAGTAGTAAAGTGGTTCATGAAGTGATTGTTACCAACCGAAAGGACTGCTGTGGTAGGTGATATACTATTCTTGTTAATTATAGATATTTAACTCAAAATAGTGCAAATATTTAACTACATTTAAGGCAGAACTTCAAAAAAAAGTATTTTCATTTTAACTGTGGAAACACCATATATGACATGAAATTACATTGCGTGGAAGAACATTTTGGGAGACTTAGAAATCGCACACCATGTGTGTGTGTGTGGCTTTAAATTTATATTTAAACATATATTTATATATAAAATTCCTGACATTTCCTAAAATAATATAATATTATATAGTATGAGATATATGTCAAGACTAGTCAGAATGATGTCAACATTGATGGTTACCTGCATTAATATTTATTATGTAGTATTTTGTATTACATTCAGTATTTAAGGAACAATCGTAAAGGTGGATCAAATATTAGTAGTTAAGTCGAAAATATTGTAATTACATTCTGAATATCTAATGATTATTATAGGTGTCTGACTGGGGGAAAGGGTTGTAATGTTGTACTACCATATTCTAGTGGAAGAGTAAATCCAAATACTATTACATGAAATGCAATACGATAATACAAACCAGAAAGCGATTTTAAATGTTTAATGTTATTTAGAAATGAAGTGGAAAAGATATTTTTAATTTAGCACAATGTGATATTATTCTTAGCGACTGTAATGTATTGAAATATAGTATTATTTATGGAGATAATCATGTTACTATATACTGTATAATATAACTGTAAAAACAACTGTCACATTAATTAAAGATAGTGTTTAATTCAACCAATCGTTATTTTGTTACAGCTGAAAGAATTACAGGTGCCGAGGTTCGTGTAGGACAAAACCACCCAGATTTTGAACTAAACACTAAATGCGGAGACAAGGTGACCGCCGCTGAATCATCCCAAACTACTTTGGTGTTCGAATGCTCCCCTGCTATAACTGGTCGCTACGTAAGTTTGCAGCTGATTGGAGTGACAGAAGTCTTAAACTTTTGTGAAATAGAAGTCATGGCAGGTATGTAAAACGTGGCGTTATCAGAATAGACAGTTCCCCGTTAACTGTAATATTTTGCCGAATACGTAAGAGACACGGACGAAAATTCTGCCATAAAATACCCTGTAAATTGAAATTCTTCAAATGTGCACATTTGGCTTGAAGGAGAAATCAGTTTAATTTTGGTCTCAATCAAAGATTGAATGATCGGAATCCAGCAAATTGTTCATATGATTTACATGTATCTACATCAGCCTCTCCCAAACTATGTGAGTGATGATGACTTAAAAACGCGGGGGGGGGGGGTCGTCATCTGCGCACGCGCTGGAATTGAGTCCCAAGCGATGCTAAGAACGCAAAGGCCAATTGCTAGACGCTTGTTTGTAGAGAATGACACGCTATGGCCACCTGACACATGCGTAGATGACGACTCCCCCGCTTTAATTGCAGTTGAATTGAATAGTAAAACATTATTCCCGTATTTTAATATGTGTCCTATTTCACTGCCAGATCTTACTGACAACTAATATGATATTTATTTATTGTTTCAGAATCATCTCCAAGGTTAGTTAATGTGGCTGTTGGTCATACAGCCTCCATAAGCGGACTGCAATATGCCAACTACCCGGCTTCATTGGCAGTGAACGGAAACACTAATTCTAATTTTTTTGAAGGCAGTTGTACCCACTCTACTGACTCATATGAACCCTGGTTTAAAGTAGACCTTGATGGAACCTATAAAATTCATGAAGTGGTTATCACTAATCGCAAGGACTGCTGTGGTGAGTGAAATACTTCATATGCGGAACACACAGAATATAACAGTACATTTTTCAAACAGTTGTATTAAAATATGTAACACAAGGATTTAAGTTGAAGGCGACAACTAGGGACTCGAGATCATTATATAATGTTCTATACCTAATTTTTGGTAGCAAATCTCACAATATGAATAATTGATATCACATTATAGAGTGTTGCATTGAAATATAAGCAATATGTAATCTGTATAGATATACTCACATAGCTAAGATACCATACCCATCAATCTTCAAATAGATTTTCGCATAGCGGACGGGGAAGTTCGTGCTGGACTTAGTACAGTCATTTCGGAAAATACTCGCTGTGGTACCCGTGTCACTCAAGCCGAAAGCACTCAGACCACTTTGACCTTTGTATGCGACCCTCCTGTAAATGGCCGCTATGTAAGCCTGCAGTTGATGGGGAGATCTGGAGTAATGAATTTCTGCGAGATGGAAGTCATGGCTGGAGGTATGTATATTTATTTTAATTCCATTTTTGATATAGCCATCAATAACAAGTAAATGAATGGATGGATTGACAGCAATGAGTCGAGACTCACATAATGCATTATGATTCTTACCTGCAAACAGTGATACACTGCATATTTAATGTTTTGTATTTGTTCAGCTGATGTCATAATAATTGTCATAAGCCTTTTTGGCGACACATTTTTTTCTATGATGTTAATGGTTACCCGCGTGTTTTCGTTTTGTTCCATAGTCGCCTATCAAGTACAATTGTCTTTGAAAGATTTTACTTTATTTGAGATAGCGACATGACAAACACTGTTTGAATGACAATGCATTCTCCAATTACGCCATGTTGTCTAATACTTAATTAATTTTTTTTATATTGCAGCTTGATGATTTTCCCTGAACAAATGAACTATGGACCGACTAGTACAGATATGTAGATGACATCTTGGTTCTTATGTAATGTTTGTAGTCATTAAGGTAGTACAATAAAATATGTAGACATAAGCCTAGTATTGATTTTTCAATTTATTTACTGCTTTGAATTTCTGTAGTGCAACATAAAACTACAGAGAATAAAACTACATGGTTAGTTCTAGTTCAATATGAACCTGGCAGTGACATATTTTGTATATCGGTAGCCACCACTATATATGACTTAAAGAAGTGTGTGAAGTCATGTTGGGTTGTCATAAAGGCTGTCTAATGATAACACCACACAGAACTAACTTAGTCATTTCATGGACACTGTAAAACAGATATTATTAACCATCGTGCACAGGATATGGCTTCTCATATTGATGGATCGTTTTTTTATGTCAAACATTGCTATGAGATACACAAATCGGTGCTCACTTCACTGTACAGGATGAATATTAGAAACACGTTCTATACACTTTTAACTGGTACACACACGTCATCATACAAACATTGGTGTAATTCTGAAAGCTAATGATGTCAACACTGCTCGAATAAAATCACAGTATGCTCTCACAATATTTGCCACAATGGTAAAAATATTGGATATGAATAACATTAGTTACCCTTTACACTTAATATGAATACATTCTATCGATGTGTACTAAGTTGAAAGCTGACAATGGATTGTATAAGGGAAACAATTAATTCTGGGCCCAGAGTTCAAAATGTCATCATACCGATGATGTCAATGTTGTCACATGATAATGTAATCAACAATGAACAATAAACCACCATATTGCACAAACTAGTCACGCTCTACAACAACAGGAAAATCACTGCTAAATTAAACATAACATACCCGAAAATATTCAACCTCACAGTCAGTTATCAAATTTATAAGTCCATATACACTAGCTGAATGTTAAACACAATAGAGTTCACAGAGAAATAAAAAGATGATAAATTTATATTATGCTATACACAATGTGATTACAGATATTTCCAAAAACGTGAGCACATATTGTTTTCGCATATTGCACCCACCATACATCTGTCTGAGTTGTAATCAAAACAATGTTTTCGAAAAATGAAGACAATGTCTCTTAAGAAATTCGTCACATGTACGGAATGAGCTGAGAAATAAATATTCCACTTAATTCACTTTGTTGGAATATTCTTTTATGACTGGTTATAATTGTGCACAGGTTTGAACATAATACTTTAATAACATATATCTAGAAAAAATGCGTTCAAATTGAATAAGTACAGAAGGAAGCTAAATATTCAATGATAGCTTTCTCATAATAAAATTCAGTCTAATTTAAGGTAGAGATGCAGTTTACCTGACAGGTATTTTAATTAGTTGATCAGGAAACCAAGATGAACTCCCCTGTCCACAAAATTATATAT